CCACGAGTCCAGTTGGGGCTGCTCATCGCCGCGTGCAGAAAAACAGAAAAACTGGGCGGGGAACGCCCGGAAGGAAGCCGGCGAAGCCGCTGCCACCTGTACCACGCCGCGCCACGCCACGCCACGCCACGCCACGCCACGCCACGCCACCCCTCCGCGGTGTCGCGAGGTGATGAATGCCCCGCTGGGGAGTCGTGTAATCAACTCCGAAGACGATGAAATTTCCGAGAAGCCGCTAAAAAGCCACTCGAAATGCGCAAGGAAACTGCAGCGGCTCGCATCGCTTTATCACACGGTTGCTGCTTGTCTCCCCCGCCCTCTCTCGCCTCTCTCTCTCTCTCTCTCTCTCTCTCTCTCTCTCTCTCTCTCTCTCTCTCTCTCTCTCTCTCTCTCTCTCTCTCTCTCTCTCTCTCTCTCTCTCTCTCTCTCTCTCTCTCTCTCTCTCTCTCCCCTTCTCCCTCCCCCATGCAGCAGCTGTGTCTACAGGTGAGAACTCCAGGAGAAGGATCCCCGAGAGGAAACGGCCCAAGATACACCGAAAATACAAATCATTCACTTTGTCGATTCGATTGTCAGGCGAGTTTTACCGTCAGCCCCGCCCCGCCCCGCCCCGCCCCGCCCCGCCCCACCCCCTGTTCCCATGGCGGCACCACGCAGACTGGGCAGGGCGTTGGATGTGTCAAAACACATCGGGACAGATATAAACGACACCTTGCTTTGTGCGACTTTGGCTTTCGGACCGTCCTTTGGCATACAGGCCCGTCTCTTCTGGAGGGGCCTTCCCCCCCTCCCCTCCCCTCCCCTCCCCTCCCCTCCCGCCCGGCCGCCCTTTATACTGTGGAAGCTTTTTTAAAGACTGATAACATTCCTTTCCCGTTCCAGGGCAGGCCCAGCAGGCCCGGCGGCAGGCCCGCAGAAAGGGGCTGGACGGGCATGAACGAAAATACGGTAAAAAGGGCGCCCTTGCACGATGGGGTCGCAGCCGCCGCAGGGCAGAGGGGAACGTGATCAAGGTCAAGAGCGGCAAAAACATCGAACGCACAAGAGCGAGTAAGAGACTGGCCAAAACCAGCGAGAATTTCGACTGAAAGGCAAGAACTGGATCAAGAACGGGGAAAAGATCAAGAACAACAACAGGAGGGAGATCAAATCCAACAACAACAATACGAGGCGCTGCGTGGCTGCGTGGCATGCGGCGCGTCAAACGAGTCAAACGCGCGGGGCGCGGCGGGGCCCCCAGTGTGGGCCCCCGGCCGCCTGGTCCTCCTGGTCGTCCTGCTCCTCCCGGGCCACCTGGGAGGTGTGTCCTGAAGGCGATCCCCATTCCCATTCTTCCCTACTCGACTTTACGGTCACACCGCCGGCAGTGCCACCACACTGTGTGTGCCGCCTCACGGTGTGCCAGCGTCACGCCAACGCAAGCTGCAGCGCTGCAGCACCGCCAGTGTGCCTCACCTGACGGTCCCGACGGCCCCAGTCCGGGCGGCCTCACGGGGAGCGCGCTGTGTTTGCATTCGTGTCGGCTTTGGCGTGCTTCGGCGTGCCGTGGCGGGTAGCGTGTCGCGCTGCCAGCCCCAATGCCGCGCCGTGCCGAGTCTTTGTCCGGGTTTTGACTTGAGACGCGCCGCATCCGGCTCCAGCACTGCAGCTGCCCCCGCCGTGAGGGTAGGCAGCCCGTCGCACCGCGGGGCCGGCCCTGCCGGCCGGGCATACGCCGCGCGCGAGAGACTTCGATGCGGCGCGGGGTAGCGCCAGCACCGCGGTAAGATATTCATTTCGGTCCGTCCCGTTTTCGCGCTGTACGCCGCGTCGTTTTGCCGGAGACACACCAACATGGGCAGTCGCACTCACACACACACGCGCGCACACGGCGGCGCGACCCGACCGCCTCCAAACGACACATATTCATCCATTTATTATAGCATGTTACATCGCGGAGGGGGCGAGTCGCGATGAACTGCGGCAAGTTATTCGAGGCGTGGCGCGGCGCGGCCGGGCGCGGCGGGGTGGGCCGGGATGGACACGGTCTCTCCCGGGACGGAATCGAAATGTTATGATCTCTGAGGGCCTCCAAAGGGCTGCCGCCGCTGCCGCCTGGAATCTCATTGGGACTCCCTGTCCCGCCTCGCACTGTGCTGGACGCCCATGGGGCCCGAGTCCCTGGCTGCATTTGGAAGCTGCAGAAGCAACCTCCTCGTCGGCCGCGGGTTCGAATCCCGACCCACCCGACGGCACAGCACCTTTCCCCCGCCAATGCCTCGGCAGTCCAATGGCAGTGCTTGCTGGCGGCTACCCCACGGTGAGGCCATGCAATGCGATCGCATCGGACGGACTGTCCATTTTTGTCGTGACTTTGCACAACGCGCCGTCACTTTACAGTGACACGACTTGTGCCCTTGTTAGTGATGCTTGTGCGTGATATGGAGCTGACAGATGTCAAAATGAACGGCTAGGAAAATAGTTTTGCGAGGGCCTTCCCCGCACATGCAGCTGGCCCTCACCTTTCTAAAAAAAATGTAATCTTTGAGCCCGCTCAAGATTATTGCGCTTTTTCATAAAGCTCACCGCACTGATCCGCTTTTTTAGGGGAATTGCTGTTTTCTCGCGAAGGAAGTCAAGCGTTCTTTCGGTCGACCGTGTGGGGTGTTCTCACCTTGTCAAGGTGTCATTTTTAAAGGGGCGGGGTGGCCCGTCCGCGGCTTTGACGCTTGACTCGTTCTATTGACCCCGCTCTACCCGTCCCGAGGGGACCGCAGAACACCGGCACGCTGGCAGCCGCGCCCTGCCCGGGTCACCACGCTGAGGTTAGGTTATGTGAGGTTAGGGTGTCCAGTGTGGAGGTGCCCCAGGGACGCGAAGGGAGGGGTTGTCCTGCCCTTGCCCAGGCGTCGTTCCTGACGGCGCATTGTTCGTGTTGTGACTGCTGCCTTTGTTGGCGTTGCAGCGAACAGCCGGCCGGGGCCGTTTGAGGTCCACAATACCGGGAAAAGACGCGCTAGCGCGCAGCTCGCACCCTGCTGTGCCGTGCCGTGCCGAGCCGGGCCGCCCGCACTAAAAGGACAAGATAAATTACAATAAAGCGTCCCATTTGACTTCCCTCGCATCCCACACACCCTCCGACTCTCCGATCCGCTCGCTTGCCTTGCCTCGCTTGCCCCCGTGCCGGCATACCGTCCGAATCCCCGCCGTGCTCACAAAGCTCTATTGGGGCTTTTACATGAGTCATTGGTTGCGGATTTGCGGTTTGGTCCAAACCGGCGACCCCAACCCGCGCGGGGTGAAGCGCGAAGCGGCCGGGTGGCTGCGATTTGAATTCGCGGCCCGACAGATGTACCCGCATGTGGCGAAGGACTGCCGCCTTCAGGTCAGGTGGGGGAGGACAACCTTAGGGCCTCTTCTCGGTCTCGTCAAGGATTTCCGTCGAACTTCCCCACGGCGGCAGCGAGGACACCCGCTCGGCCAGGGACGCACGGCACGACCGCGGGGTGCTTGTAGGAGGCGCGTGGACAATGGATTTGGTCGTGACGAATACGCGCCGCGCGTTGGATCCAACGATCCGACGAGAGGACGCCCGCTACACTATAAATTTGGCCACCGGGAGGCGTCGCTAACACGCCGCGAACGTGGCCAACGTGAGAAAGTGTCAACACACGCCGCCGCGCTGCCGTGCCGCCCCTGGACGCGCCTACACTCTAAACGCAGCGCCATTTTTCAAAGCCCAGATGCCGACGGCCGATAAGCGTCCGGGGGAAAGATTTGCACGCACGGTTCCGAACAAAATCTCCGAATTCGAACAGTCCGTGCCAATTCCTGTGCGGGCCCTCGATCGAATGATGTTTTTTAAAAGCTCAAACAACATTTTTTTTACTTTTTTATTTTTTGCAGTGGGACTCCTTACAGATGCAGCGGCGGTCGGGTCGTCTCTGCGAGTGGGCATATTGTTGTCTGATTAGAAGGAACTTCTGCCAGCCAGACAAGGGGGTGCAGTGTTCAGGGGGGAGGGAAAGAGTTGGCAGAGGGAGGCCAGGCCTGTGGCCAGGACGACGTGACATCACCAGAAGGGCCAGAAGCCACGTGGCGGCTATGCTCTGTCTCGCTCGCACTCGCCTCCAAATAGTAAAACTGCCATAACTGACACTTTACAGTGGTGTGTGCATTTGGCCCGCGGTTCGTTGCCGGCCGTGCCCTGCCCCGCATGGCCTGTGGTGGTGCCTGTGGGAAAAGTGTCCCTGTCCGGGTTCAGGTCGGCGGATGACACATCGCGGCTCCGACAGGACACGGTGCCCGCATTACCGCGACCTCCGACCCGCGCTGAACCCTGAACCCCGACCGGGAGGTCCGGTCCTGCTTAGTTAGGGTTGGTTGACGCCGCACGGCCTTGAAAAATGACTCTTTGATGCCGGTTGCCTAATCATTGGCTCCTCTTTCACGATCCCTCCTCCAGAATCGGCCACCCACGGCCGTGTACGCGGACTTTGGCTTTACTCGGGAAACTTTCCCGCCCTAATGACCCTCGCGAATCGGAGGCAAGGCCGAGGCAAGGCCACCCGTTCATTGGCGATGCTCTTGTTTCTGGAAGGTTGGCTCGGGCAGCCTGAAGGCTGGCCTACTTGGCCAAGGCCGCGGCGAGGGTCTGCCCAAGGCCATCGCGCACTGTCTCGGCTCGCAAGGCATGGCGCTTCCGCGAAGTGAGTGTCCTTGGTCCTTCGACGACTGTGCGAGGTGTCCGCAGGGACGCTGACAGCACCACTGTTCTTGCACTATTATTGTCTCGGCCTCGCACCGGGCGCGTCAGGCGCGTGCCTGCGCGTGCCTCGCCTTCCCAGTGTAGGCCGATTCCGAACCGAAGGAGGGTTCGTTGCTCTGTCTCCCTCCGGAGGCCCCATGAGTGCGAGAGAGACGGGCAGAGCAGCCACGCGCCCGCCGCGGAGGTAGGCAGCCCATCCAGCACCGGTGAGGCGTTCGAGACTTCCCGCGCCCCTGCTTTGCAGTGCGATCATTCCGAAATAGCGCAAACGCAGTCCCGACTTTCAAAAATTGCGTGCCCGAGGCGCCCTCATTAGGGATGCTCGCAAGGGTCAAATCGTCCGAGGTGCAATGGAATGGACAAGCCTCGCCCTGGACGCAGGGGACTCCTAACGTCAAAGACGTGACCGGTGGGTGCAGCTAGGTGCTGCTAGCACAAAGCGCCACCCCTGCGGGAGAACATCGAAACTCGTGGAGGGTCGCCTCCGAGGGTTCGAAGCTTCGAGGCTCAACAGGTTGCTGCCCGGGAGACAGTCCCAGCCCTTGCTTTGCTAGTTCCTGAAATAGCCAACAGGGAGCGGCACCTCCCGGAGACGCGTCGTTTACCCAGCGCGAATCCCATGATTCTTGTCAATTTTTGGTTGATCACACGCAATTGCATTGCAAAGTGTATGGATAAAACGGAATACTAAAGGCAACATTTCAAGTCATTTGTGCTATTTATGATTTATTTTAGTTTAAAAACGGCCCTTCTGTCACAACATACAATTGCCACTGCAGAAAATACAAACAGTCTGGAGTAAGCGGTCTTAAATACCATGCATTCATATTTGTCTTGCTCTGTGGTAAAATGTGCCAGTGAAGGGAAAACAATTAGTGACACCAACTATCAGTCCAGCATGCTGAGTGATTACAATAAATGCTTCACTAAATATCCTCAAGTTAAATGATAAGAAAACTCAACTCAGCTCATCCTGTAAGGCTTTGAAGAGAGACCCTGCATAGAATACAATGAAACTTCACTAGCCTAGTAGGACAACTTAAACATACCTTCATCGGACTAACTGAGCAGCAATGCATCTTTGAAATAATAAGAACACTGTACAATACCACTGAATGTTTGCTGCTGTAAGTATCAGTGAGCAAATATTGTACATGATGGCACCAATATGACTTAAATTGTTTTGTAAAATACACTCCAACATACATTCAACTATCTGACACAATATATGAGGAGATTCCTACAGTTTCTTATCACAGAAAATTACTTTGAGGTAATATGTAAAATTATTAAAAATAGTACACATAAATGTGCGAGTATTCCAGGAGTATTCAAGGCATCAGTAGCATTCATTTACAACCTTTCTAGCAAAATCCCAAACATAACTTGACTGAAGGTATTTTAAGCACACATGTGCACCACAGACATGTGCTGACATCAAACCGTTAAATCTCATGAGAGCTCTTCTGAAAGAACAAGAACCAAATGCGCCATTGCAGAAGCCACCAACATGATAACAAGCAGAATTAATATTACAAGTTGTTAAAGAAAAATATATTGAACAGACTTCATTAAATATTGTGCAGTAACTTTTGAAGTTGTTTCAATAGGCCAGATCTCCTGCTTTCTCATTCATTCACAATACACAATACTTTTTAATAGAAGGAAAGGCAGCAGGAAAAATTTGAAGAAAATTTTACTAATCAATGTAAGTTAAATCCAAGGTTTTCACCAAGAAGCTGAGAATATCTGCACATTCGTCGATCTGGAGCGAGACAGAAAGGGAAAGCAAATTTGTTACATGTTCAGAAAATTTCATTGCAATTAAAATAATTAAAACCAATAATATTAGGGTTTAGTTTTAAATCAATAACTTTGCATGTGCTTACCACTTTAGCAGTAGGCTTGCCATGTCCATGACCAGATTTGGTATCAACATAAATAAGAAGTGGGTTGGTCTTAGAGAGAAAAAGAAAAGGATAAAAATCAATAAGACAAAACAATAAACATGTGTGCAAATCAAAAATTACTTACTTGCTTATCTGAAGTGCCAACAGTGTGCTGGAGCTCCGCAATGTATTTCAAGGAATGAAGAGGAACCACTCTATCATCATGATCAGCAGTAAAGACAAGAATGGCTGGGTACTAAACAGAAACATAAAAAGACTCAGTCTACAATATATTTTTTATTTTGAAGTGATTTATTTCAGATGAGCACAAGCATAAAAATTTCATACCTGAACATCATTACGCTCTGGAACTTTGATGTTGTGAAGAGGTGATATACCCTTCAGATTAATGAAATGCTCCTTTTCCTCTGGACTGCCATAGTCAGACACCCAGCAGTAACCAATGGTGAATTTGTGGAACCTTAGCAAATCCATAACACTGGTACCAAAAAAAGAAAAAGGTAATGAAGAAATGGAGTTACAATTTGGTTTCAAAATGTATGACAGGAATATTGAGACTGAAAATGAAAAGAAGCAACAAAACTTACCCAGCTTGGCAGATGACTGCTCCAAAAAGATCAGGTCTCTGGTTGCTGCAGGCACCGACAGTCATGCCACCATTAGATCCACCCTGGATAGCTAACTTGCCTTGACATGTGTACTTCTGCTCAATAAGGTATTCAGCAGCTGCAGCCATATCATCAAAAGAGTTCTGCTTGTTAAGCAGTCTGCCTCCATTATGCCACTTCTCACCATACTCCCTGAATAAAAAAATTTAGACAATAAAATAAACACAGGGTATTGTTTTTATAAGAAAGCTACATAGGCCCATAACTTCTGACATTACCCTCCTCCGCGAATGTTCGGAATAGCTAGAATCCCACCAAGATGACGTATGAAAATCAGACGGGTGACACTAAAAGTAGGCTGAAGACTTATATTAAAACCTCCATATCCATAAACAAGGCAAGGATTCTTGCCATCTTTCACCATATCCTAAAACATAAAGTAAGATACCATGAAAGAGAATAGGGAATAAGTGTTAAAAATACATGGTGGCAGTGGAACACCTACCTTTTTATGTACAATAAACATGGGTACCTTGGTACCATCTTTGCTAGGGTAAAATACTTGAGTAGTTTCAAATTGGTTCAGATCAAAGTTTTCAACCTTGATGTCTCTGAAAACCTTGCAACACAATTTTGATTAGAAGAAGGCAGAAGATTCAAAATAGGTAATTTGGGGTATTGCAAATAAGGACATCAATATACCTTGGGTTCAATCGTGGGTAAGGTAAGATCAACATGATAAATGATACCCGGAGTGAGGAAGCTTGTGAACTGGTAAAATATTTCAGTTTGATCCTTCTGTCCAGAGAAGCCCACCACAGATCCAACCTCCAATGGGAATGTCTTAAGATGTGCACCGGATTTAAGATCATGAAGTTGAAGTACACTCTGCAATTATAAATGAAAAGCAAGAAGTGTTACATTATTATAATATAAAATTACTGACAAAGACAAAGGAACATGAAGCAATTGAAATCAGTAAATGGAATTTAAAAACAACAGACCTTCACATCATGAATGTAGCACAAGACCAGTTTATCATGAGCCACAGACACTGACCAGGACAGAACATCTTTTTCATGTTCAGGTACAAGTGTTTCCCATTTATCTTGAGAGTAATCATCAATGTTAATCTTGACAAGATGGTAGTTTTGAGCTCCTTTGTTGGTGTGGAAAATGAAGTTTCTCCCCTCATTGGTGACATACTACAAACAAAGAATCTATATAAGGCACTGTTTAAGCAGAAAAAAATAGAGAAAATTTAAACACAACAATTGGCTTAACTAACATCATAGTCCGAATCCAATTCATTGACTATTTGGATAAGTGGCAGTTTTCCTGTAATTTGACCTCCTGGAAGAGCTTCAAGATCACAAATAAACACCATGTTGTCCCTGCAGTCTTTCATGGTGGTCACAATCAAATAGCGTTGGCAGTCACTCAGCTCAGCACCACTAAAAAGAAGGACATTTCCTGGAGTCAATTGACATGATCATCGTGATAAAGGAAAATGGGATATAAAATATAAATAAGAATCTTACATTCTCCAGAGTGGATTTTCAGGGAACTCAACAACCAATATGTCTTCAGTTTGGGGAGTACCAATCTTGTGATAGTAGAGCTTGTGATTTATACTACCCTCAGTCTCGCATCCATCAAACCTACCATGTTGATCAGGGTAACACTGGAAAAGGAAATGAAAAGGAAAGAAGAGATACATGATATGACAGAGTAATATAAAGGTAGAAAAATTGATTCTTCAGGCCTCTTACCCCATAGAAAATTCCTTCATTGTCTGGAGACCATGCTAGGGAAGAATACTTGACCTTTTCGAGTTTCTCTGGGTAATCTTTGCCTAAAATTGTGACAACATATACAAGCACAGAAATATATTAATATAAAGAAAAAAAACTGTAAATTTTTGGAGGAAGAAACAAACTATACAGACCAGTCTCCACATTTTTGAAATGAACAGTATTCCAGTCAGATCCACTGTGACTTAGGCCATAGGCGAATTTCTCTCCGTTTTTAGTGAACTTAGATGTTGACAAGGCTACAGTTCCATCATCAGACAGCAGGTTTGGATCCAGAAATACACGAGGCTCAGACTCAAGGGTATCTTGAATGTACAGCACACTGGAACAGCAATCACCACAATTAAAGCAATCATCCTCTCAGAGTCTTAATGGATTGTATTATTGTACCTTTGATTTTGAAGACCAGTATTCATGCTGAAGTGGTAACGGTTGCCCCTCTTGTAAGGACAAGTGTATTTTGGAAAATCCCAGAGCTTGGTCAGCCGAGAGTGAAGATTTCCCCGGGATGGACACGAATCAATGAAGGGCCTTGATATAGCATTTTGAGCATCCACAAATGCTTTAGTTTCTTCAGCATCTGGATCCTCCATCCAACGGAATGGATCAGCAACCTGAACATGAGAAAAAAACATTAGTTTCAATATGGCAGACATAACACAGATGAGAAGCATTGCTTCAGAAAATCTACCTTAACACCATGGCATTCCTCAATAACAGTTTCATCACGCCTTGCTGAAGGATACTTGAGTTTCATGGTGAAGGCCTGGGAGTTACAGCCGGGAGCAAACTAGAATAAATACAAGAAATATAATTAGTTGCCAGGGAAATTTAACCACTTTTCAAAACAAGATCTTTGAAATATCCCCCATACCTTATTAAAATTTCTCAAATGAGGATAGTTAAGTCCTTTCTTTGGGAACACTCTGCAATTATTCAACAAATGGCTTCTCTCACAAGTCAATTTAACTGGCATCAAGAACCGCATTCGTAAAACAGATGAATACAGTAACACTGGACTCATGTTCAAGTCAGCTTTGCAGAATTGTCAGGAAAGGCAGCCTCAGCTATAGCCGTCAGATTTCGTTATCTTGTCGTTAATTAAACAGAGGTACATGTCAGTGAAGTAGAACAGCCATTGAGAAGACATGTTGGTCCAGGTTAGTCTAAATGAGTTGAGTCTAGGGTCCGTGTTGCCGCCACTAGTGCTCCATTTTCAGGAAATAGGTGAGTGCAATGAATGACAACTCTGAATCATGTCAATTCATGCTCGTGGTAGGAAAACGTTGCCGTAAAAATTTCTACCCAATAACCGGTGACATAAGTCTATTAATAACCAAGCTACACTCTTCCCTCACAGAACGAAATTACTTCAATAATGAACAAGATGCATGTACTGTAGGAGGGGAATAGGAGGATGACGCTACCTCTATAAACTTACCAAGAGTTTCAGCGAAGATAATGAATAATTGAAACGTAAACAAGGAATGAGGTCTCTAACCTTTCCGTGCAATGAATGCAAGTTGTACTGCAATGTGGATCTGTGACTTCTAGTGATGCCAGCGCATTATATGACAAATTTATATGCCAAAACAGGCAATTTTTAGTTTGGTTTCCCTGGTGCATTTCCGTGATTTGGACCAAAATCGATGGTAAATTTGAAAAAATTCAATTTAAATGTTTAATTACTTTCAAATAAAATTCACCTCATCAAGTGAAATCACGAGAATGTCTACAGCAATTTCTCTTAGCGTGTTCTGTCAAGCTAGCACATTGCGATTGGGAGGTGGGGGTGTGGAGGGTGGAGGGTGGGGGTGAAGGAAGGAGTGAGGTTGGAGTTTGTCGCCGATTCGCGTCAAAACTCATCCGAGATGTCCCGTGGAAGCAGCGCCGGTTTTGACCGGCACATTACTATTTTCTCTCCTGAAGGGCGGCTTTATCAAGTCGGTGAGTGCAGATTATTTCCTCGCTTTAGTTTCTGAATTCTTAAGGATTTTCTCATTTTATGCATTGTTGATACTGGGCCTGTCGGCTCTGCCATTGACTAAGCATATTTTCACTCTTTCTTCCCAACGAAATTACATGTTTTCATTGTACACTTTTAGTGACCGATTGTCTTGTCTGGCATGTTGTCCTGCTTCTTAACTTTTAAGTAATGGAAATTACTCTAAGAGCCGTCCTGGTGACTGTAATTGAAATGTAAGGTTATGTCATCTTTTCGTTAGTATCATCACTCGTCAGTTTTCCTTGTAAGGCAATGGTATCTTGAATGTCACCTCTTTAATGGGATAAACGAAGTGTTTACTCGCCCTGCGAGCTTTGCCTCACACCCCCTCATTCAATGTTTGACGCTACGCGATGTGCACTGTCACTTAGATCTGACATGCTTTTCCTTTCAGAATATGCCTTCAAAGCCATCAATCAAGGTGGTTTGACATCCGTTGCACTGAAAGGAGTGGACACCGCAGTTGTAGCAACCCAGAAGAAAGTCCCTGTATGTACCTGCTAGTCATTTTTCTTGATTTACACTTTAAAATGTTTACTCGCTGGTCAGTCTAGCGTGAGTCTATCTGCATTACAAGTAATTCATGATTGCCCTTTTTTCCTCATCAGGACAAGTTGTTGGATCCCAAAACTGTCACTCACTTGTACAAGCTGACAGATAGCATTGGCTGTGTTATGACTGGTCTCATTGGTAAGTTCTTGTTTTTTCAGTTTCATGGTCTTAATCACAACACTAGCTCTTTGTTCTGCTTACCTAAACTTTTTGTATGGTTACAGCTGATAGCAAGTCTCAAGTGCAGCGCGCCCGGTATGAGGCCGCCAACTGGAAGTACACAAATGGCTATGACATGCCTGTAGACGTTCTCTGCAGACGCATTGCTGATATCTCTCAAGTTTATACTCAAAATGCTGAGATGAGACCACTTGGCTGCAGTGAGTATTTCATTCTTTTGTCAATTTTACTTATAATTCCAGCTCCTTTATTAAAGAAAGAATTCAGGCCTTATGGAAGATAGCTAGCTTTCTCATTTTTCTCATATGGAAAGAGAGGTATGATTTTCATTTGACCGTTTTTATTTCATTTCAGGCATGGTACTTATTGCTTATGATGAGCAAAATGGTCCGTGTGTGTACAAAGCTGATCCGGCAGGTTATTTCTGTGCTTATCGTGCAGTCAGTGTTGGTGCTAAGCAGACTGAAGCTAATTCTTTCTTGGAAAAGAAATTCAAGAAAAAGTCACAGTATACTCATGATGAAGCTATTCAGGTATTAACATTCTTCCCTCAATTAATCTGTTCATTTTGTGGTGCTTTTATTATACTTTAATGTCCTAATGTGTCTTTTGCTGTATAGATGGCCATTTCATGTCTGTCATCTGTCCTGTCCGTTGACTTCAAACCAACAGAGATAGAAGTCGGTGTTGTTTCCAAGGAGGATCCAAAGTTTGTGTGAGTATCTCTTAAAATGAATACATGTCTCTTTCAATTCAGATGATCTTATGGAAAAATGTTCTTGTTTCCAGTATTCTGTCCGAAGAGGAGATTGACAAACACCTCACAGCTATTGCTGAAAAAGAGTAATCATCCAACCTCAAATTGCTTAAGTTTTACTTTATCCCATGCTATTTTTACACAACTGTATACAGTTGCTAATAAACAACTTTTGTGAGACTTTAGATGCTTATTCATTCCCCTGCAAGACAAATCCAATCAACTTCCAAAAAATTCTCTAGCAGTCAAAAAAAAAAATAAAAAATTTCCAAGATTTAAGGAAGTAAAGCAGTTCTACTTTTGTTACAAATGCATTACTCATTCAAGACTGCTCGAATGGCCCAGCCCCAAACTTGACTTTCCAATTTCATAGAATGTTGTTCAGGTTTACAACTTACAGAGCATCAAAAGGTCAAAAATTTTAAGTATTGTTCCCTCATACTTCCCGAGAAGGGCCTCAGGGGGTTCAATGGAAGCAATAACACAATAGAAAACACATCTCATGATCTTATCTTAAATATAATTGGATGACTGACTGAAGAAAGAGACCACAACTTAAAATTAAAGCTTACATTTATACAAAATGCATAATCCACGTAGAAACAGAATGAAAACAGTTGGGTGGGGAATGAAAATTCAAGAATATTGGTAGAATGACAAGAAATTATTTTCCAGCATTGGCTGCCAATGGATTTCGTAATACTAAGATGACAGAGTCTCCTCGCAGGAACATCTTTGATATGAAACGATCCTTGTTGACAGGCTTGCCCTGTTAAGAAAATAACATAAAGAAAATATGTTCAAAAGTAGGACTAAAAGTTGACGACGAAGAAAGATCTTACCTTTTTCTTTCCTTTCCCTGCCCTAGGTTGCTCCGTCCACATTTCTTTTACATTTTCCAAAACCATATTACAATGGCGATCAAAGGCTTTAACTCTTCCCAATAGTTTTTTATTGTTACGACAGTTGATAAGAACCTGAATCAGAAACCAAGGAAATAAGAAAAGTTACTAAAGAGTCTTCATTTAACTCAAATAAAACTTGCAGTTAAACAGCCCACCTGAGTATTATTTTTCACAGATTGAGTGAGCACGGAAAGTGGCCCGGTGTTAAATTCTTCTTCTTCAAGCCTAGCCAGCTCCTCCGGGGTCATTTCAGATTTGGGTTTGGAAACGGACCTGTCAAATGCAAGAAAAGAATTTAGCGTTAGATATCTAGGTAAAAGTCAAACCTTAGCACAATACAATGAAAATTAAACGTAAAGCTACATGAAACCAGGCATTCTTGTATGAACTACCCTGGATAAAGCAGTATATTATGGGATGTGACTAAGGGACAAGGGCAAACTGCTGATTCGCAGGTCTTGGAAAATTTAAAGTGGAACAGAAAATAAAAATAATAACCCTTTACATCAAGTTTCGGAGATTTTTCACTGCCTAATACAAACATGCCGCCAAGGCGGAGAGGTTAGGCTTCCATAACGCTATGTTGATATGTGCGTCATTGAGTGCGGAAACTTTTCCGAATTTTAGGATTGAGTACTTACGCCATTACGCTTTGAGTGATCCTTCAGGCAAATCAATAAAACTTGCGAGAACTTAGATAATCGGCAATTCCTGTCGCTAGTTTCCAGTTTACGTTAAGAAAATGCCGGATTCTTCTTCTTTTCTTTCTCTTTTTGATTGTTGTTGTTGATGCGTCGATGGCTTGAGAGCAGCGACTCCCTCCAGCCAGGGTGTGGCTTCACACGTTCCTCAATACCAACTCAACAACTATTTAAATATTTTGTGTTTTGCTAGCTGTGCTAAGCCGTACCATGAACCATAGAATAATATTTAAAAGACAAAAAAATACATTAGCTTTGACGAATTTTTTGCGATGGAATCACGCTTTTTCACAGAATCCCACTTTGTCAAATATCTAGAGGTTGGTGCTGTTGTGATGCGTTAGCTGCAGCTGCAGCTGCAGACTGCAGCGACTTTCTGCTTGTTGCTTTGTTGCTCTCGCGTTGGCTTTCGCGTTTTCAGGTCAGTTCAATATTTTGTTTTCTAAACATGTTGGTTTTCATCCTTTAACTTTTGGCTGACATCTTTTAATTTGTTGTCAACTTTGAAGTGTATGGCCCACATTGAAGTGTTGTTTTCGTCACTCTGGGTGCATGGATTATGTGTGTCAAGGTGGGGAATGTATTTCAAATTCTTAATGAAGAAGGGAGAAGGATCCTCTGGGCATGAAAAAGACACTTAAAAGCCCTTCTTAAACTTAATAGACCTAATAGACTCTTTGTCTGCTAATCAAGGTCATTAGTCTCCCATCAAAATAAACAAACAATGTCTTTTGCCTTGAGAACCACAAGTCTAAGGTCCACTTGACCTGTTGAGTTACCGTGATATTCCTATAGGATCTCTTTATTGTAATTACTCATGAAAGGAAAACATCCTTTTTTAAAAATATAGATGATTTCTTGATTTTAATTGAATGTTTTAACAGTTTGTGAAATGTTGGCTTCTTTTTATTTCCAGATTGCGTTGTTCAAGAATGTTTTACTCTGCCAGGTAGCTGCTCAAAGAACTTCTAAGTTTGGATGTAAGTAAACCTCTTTTATGTCTTAGATTTTAACTGGTCTTTTTTTCTAATGAACATTGTCTGTGATATATCACAAGCATCAAAACTATGTAAACTTGATGTATGTAACTGATGTATGGTTTTGTCTTTTGCAGGAGAAGTAAATGTCAAAGTATGGCTAACTTTTGCACTTGGTGTTCCAATCATGGATTCTCAATAATATACAACTATAAGCACAAACTGATCTGCAAATATTTTAGATGCACTTGTTCTAAGTGTGAAGGTACCATTACATATCTAAGAAATGTCGCAATCCAAAGAGTATCTCAACAAAAGCAAGCTGCAGAAAGAGAAAAATTTGCTAAACGGCAAAGAGAAATTGAACGACAGAAAACTGCAAAAAGGAAAAAGGATGCTAAACAACAGAACTTTCCTGCAAATCAAAATGCCGTGGAGAAGAAACGAATTTCTCGAAATGAAAAAAGCAGCTGGCAAAATAGTTCTGTCCGAACACAGTCAATCCCATCAACTTCCAGAGACCAATCTTCCCCACCTTACTGCAAGTTTTGCAGGAATCACGGCCTATCATATTACTTCATTGGGCAGCATTACAAATGCTGTAAATATTGGACCTGTTCCTGTCGCAAATGTCAAGATATCCGAGGCCCAGCAAAGTCTCGTGCAACCAAGGCTGCAGAGGGTTCTAAAAAGCGCAGTCGTAAAGAACGTAGTGAAAGTCCTGAAGGTTCTTCAAAACGCCTTTGTGTTGAAAATGTAGATCAGCCTTTACCCAACTGTCCATTGTGTCTTAACCATGGCTTTAGTTTCCCTTTGAAGGCACATCATATCAGCGTCTGCTTGCATAAAAACTGTTCATGTGATCCATGCCGTGATGAGCGGAAAAGCATGAAAGAGAAAGTTACACAAGTAGAAGAGAAAGAGGATAACAAATCAGAAGAAAGAGAAAATAATAAATCTGAAGGGAAAGAGAATATTAAATCTGAAGATAAGGAGAGTAATAAATTTAAAGATAAAGAAAATATTAAATCTCTAGAAGAAAAAAATCATAAATCTGATGATAAAGAAAATATCAAATCTACTGAACAAAAAAATTGTAAATCTGAAGATCAAGAAAACATCAAATCCACAGAAGAAAAGAATAATAAATCTGATGATAGGGAAAATATCAAATCTACTGAACAAAAAACTAATAAATCTGAAGATCAAGAAAATATCAAATCTACTGAAGAACAAAATATTAAATCTGAAGATAAAGAGAAGAATAGTATTGCAGTCAATTCTGTACACTCTGTGACTGCTCCAACTGCACCAACTGACATGAGGAAACCGTGTGCTGTGGTAGCACCAAAACCTAGGCTGTGTACTGCATCTTTTAGTTCCTCATCTTCATCTAAAGCTTATAACTACCAAGAAAATAAAGATGAAAATTTACCAAAGAAGAATGTAGACGTGCAAACTCTTAGTACCGCCGACTCCACAGCACCAGAAGGAAACTTAGGAGCTGAAAAAACTGCAAGCCCAGAAGAAGGGACTGCAGAGAAGAATAAATCAGAAAACATAGCTGATGCACGCAGTAAGAGTCCAGAAGTAAATGAGGATCAAAGAATCAATAACTCTCCTCTGCATGAAGAAGAGACAACTTCAGAAGGGGGTGCACCAGAGCTCATACCTGATGTCGAAAGTGAGCTTGCAGAAGTAAGTGAGATCCGATTAAGTCAAGGAACTAGCAACTCATCTGTGTATTCTGAGACTGTTGGGATGCCAGAGATTTTGGATGAAGAATACCACACGGTATCTGAAATCTCTGAGTCATCTAACGATGAGGGAAGCAACTTGAGTGCAGATGGTGAGGAAACAAGTACCAAAGTTACTGAGGCAATGGGAATGATGAGTAATGAGGGCGGTGATATGGTCATAGAGCCCAACATTGTTTCCCAGGCCAGTAATACTCTATCCGTTAAAAATAGTGCCCAAGACTCCTCATGTCCTGACAAATGCAAAGACCATGTGGAAGACCAAGTGGTTGAAGAAGAACCGAGCAAAAGTGATTCAATTGTAAGCAATATTGGAAAGGTTGGTGAAGGCTCTGAAGAGGAATCTAACGGCAGTCAAGCTATTATTTCTAAATCAACGGAGGACCTTTCAAACAACAGCCTTGAGTCTGAAGCAACACCAATACCATTCGCTGAAACAGGCCTTTCTGATCCAAGGCCAGAAATGGCTATTGAAGGAGATTCGACATCCATGGAAGCAAGGAAAGGCTATGACAGGGATAGCTGCAATGAAGGAACCAATGCCATCGAAACTACTCCATGTGTACCAATGAGTCCAACTCACAGTGCACCTCGACATATTTCCAACGAAGATAATATGTCGAGTAAGCTTTTCTCTGAAGTGTCTGAAATAAATGGCAGTTCTAATGTGGCTAGGGATACCAATTCACTGAGCTTTAACAGTTTAGAAAATAAAGACTGCGAGGAAAAAGCAGGTTACCAGGAATCCTGTTCACATCAAGAAACCACTATGGATGCATCAAAAAATTCGACTTTGACATCGTGTCCTGAGAAGAAAGCTCCTGATGACATGGCCGATTTGATGGCAAAACTGGCTACTTTGGGAAAAAACTTGCAGAGTGCTTTGCCTCTTTCCCGATCTCTCAGCGTTCCCGCAAGTTTAGAGAGATCCCTGTTTGATGAAAGTCAGCCCTTTGATTTATCCTCTCATCTCCAGAAGAGCTTGTCCAATTCCCGTCATCAAGGAACACCTTCAAACACAATTCAGCCCGGAAGTGAATTGGTTCAAGAAAATGGCTCAGAGGGAATACCTATTGTATCCACGCCTGCATGTGCCGAAATGCGCCCGGAAAAGCCAAAAGAAACACCCCAAGAAGGTGCTGAGTCTCTCGAAAATCTTACTGAAAACGTTCAAGAAAATCCAGAGTTTTATCAGAAGCCGAGAGAAAACTCCCAAGAAGATCCAGATTTGTGCAGTAAGGAAACCGACAGCTCTGTTACTCCACCAGCACTTCATCTTGTGGAGGACGCAACTCTCCCTCAAGAAAGTACCAATGCTGAAGAGGTAACTATTTCTCCAGCAGAATTGCCCTCTGGAAATGTAGAGGTAAATTTACAGAAAGAATGTGATGGGTGTCACAAGGTCTTCTCTGCGTCAACTAATTTTAGAATTCATCAGTACCTTAAGCATGATGTGGACTGTGAGTCTAACCCTGGCACAATGTACCAGTGTAGAGAGTGTCCTTATGAAAATGAGAAAGAAATAGCTACTCTCGATCATGAGAGTAGTCACATGTCCCTTGTACCTTTGGACAGAATGCTAAAGTTATTTTGTGTCATTAGCAATGAGTATAAAAGAACTTAAACAAGCTAAGACTTTTAGTTCAATATGAAATTGAACCATTGTAAATCAAAGCAAAGACTTGCGTCTTATTTCAGTACAATAAACTGTGATTGATAGTTTATCAAAAAAGAACTGTTTTTCTAGATTATTACGTAATGTTTTGTCATTCTTTTATTAATGTTTTATATTATGCGACTATGCAATGGAATTATAAATATGTTAATTCAAATAAGTTTCTCAAACATGTGCCTTAATAAATAAGCCGTGTATTCTGTTTGATTATAAGGACTGATTACCATTTAATTATTTTTCAATTTGTTTGTAACAGTATGAAAATATAATTTTTGTACAAACAATATCTTTCTTGTCACCCTCCTTTAATTCCAAGCATTCTCCCCAGCAGTCTCCCCTCACCATCCGACAGTAGTCCAACCACCTTGAGTCCAAAACTCGCACTGAGGTGTCGGGGGAAAAGGGGGGGGGGGGGGCCTTCCCTGGCAGCAGCAGACCGATTCCAAAGATTCACTTCGCGGCTCGCTCTCTCTGTCACACTCGTTGCTTGCTGTGGGGGAGCGAGAGAAACAGGGCGACGGAACGCCCGGCAGCACACGTCGCCATGGGGCGCGCTGGGTGCGCATGTGTGGCAATAAAATTACACTTACACTGTGCTAGCCGAACGGCGCGTTCTCATTGGCCGCACCGGGCCACGCCTGACCAGGGTGGGGCGCCGCAGCAGAGTCTAGGCGCAGGTGTGCGCGGTCGGGTGGAGGAGGCTTGAACGCGTTAAGGTGACGGATAAGGCGAAGAAGAGTGAAGCTGCCGGCACAACCGCCTGCGACCGCGCGCACTGCAACGTGTTCCTCCACCAGGATCGTGGTAAGCAGGCGTCGAGCAGCCAGCAGCCACTGAATTCCGAAGACGTGTACTACACTGGAAACCAGAGTAATGGTACCCGATTTGCCTGGGAGCCTGGGTTGAGGGTAGGTCTCTTGTCGCCGAGGAGGCCCTCGCCCGCCCTCGCCAGCAGGTGCAGACGGCGCGGCTGAGTCTTCGCGCTGTCTCTCTCGCACTCAGGAGCCGTTGCGCTGGGGTGCGAGAGAGGCAGAGCGCCGGGGCACTGCTCGTTCGGAATCAGCCTTTCCGCAAAACAGGAATTTGCGCCGCGGTTTGCGGCCATCGCCGGCAAGTCAAGTGTGCCAATTGGGGCCTCAAAGGGAAGTCGATGCCTCAAGCGCCTCACGTGTGGCGTCTGTCACTGTGTGGCGCGATTCTGCAGCCCGGCGACGGGAAATTAGGAAATTAGTCGACGAGGCACAGTCGGAGGCAAGAGGCGCGACTCGCGCTGCGTTGGGCTGCTTAATTTTCGCATCCGCTTTGCATAATCGTCCTGCTTAGATGGCGCTGCTGGCCGCCCTGGTCGCCGTGCTCGTCGCCGTGCTCGTCGCGGGGGCCGTGGGCGTGGAGGGGCAACTGCCGTCCAACCCGTACTACGGCAACGGCCTGCTGTTTGGCGCCAAGAACCCGGCCAACCCGTTCGTGTACGCCAACACGGCCTCCTACGCCAACACCTACTACTTGCCGTACGCCTACTCCAACTACGCGCCCTACTCGCCCATCCGGACCTAAGGTATGGACTGGAGCGGTTCAACCCGTAAAGTCTACCAAAAAAAAAAGGTTCAATACTGATATTTTTGCCGTAAAATGTTTTTGTTGACTTGGGTCATGTTTCTCGTTCCCTCATATTCTTCTTTCCAAGTCATGTCGTTCCCTTGACGACCCTAGACGACCAAAGAAAAACTTGTCGCGGGTCCTACTAATCATATTTGGGCAGGGCGCAAGCACTTTGTGCCAACTAGCCGCTTTTCCTCGTGTCAGTCCTCTCCCCCCCCCCCACCCCCCCACTTCGCTCCTCCCTCGTCCTTCAACTTGACCCAGTTGCCGCGGCCTTGACAATTATCAGGTTGTCACTAATTTGACGCCACCCGCCCCACTCCTCCTCCTCCTCCATTTAGCACCCCGTTGCAGTGCACTGGCAGTCCTCGTTCGTGAGTCATTCAACTGGCGCGTACTCCTGTTTCAGCCTTGCCCCTTGTTTGGGGAGGAAACGCACCAAAGGACCTCCGGCAAGAGACGTGTGCTCCTCGACGACAACAACACCGTCTGTTTTTTGTACCCAATTATTTATACGAAATAAACGAGTTGAAAACTTACGGCGATGGTATTTTGTTGTTCTTTCTCTTCCACATATCACTTCGAATTAAGGTTGTTCTTTTGAACTTCGTCAGTACACAGTAAGGATCACATTTGAGCAAGGAAACGCGGCGAGTTCTCTTGGAGGACAGAGGACCTGCTCCGGTTTTCGGTGCACGGTCGCCGCGTGGCCGCTCCGGGGAGGCGGCTTCACGCCGGAAGCACTCTCTGCCCACCGGATGCAGGAAGTCTGCCGTCGTCCGGTGCTATCCGGCCGATGCACGCGGAGGCCATGCCGGCCATGCCAGGCCACGCCGGCGGGGGCACTCCCTGCGGCCAGCCCTTGAAGGCCGTGAAGGCCTTGAACCCGGAGCCGCAGCGCCGACGGAGTTTGCAGTGGCGCTGCGCAGTGCCCCCGGGCGGTCTTGGCGGGCTTGACCCTCCGGGCCGGCCACCACGGCAGCCTGCTGCAGCAGCGCCACCACTACAAAGACGGCGGCCGCCGGAACTAGCCGCCTCTTTCGCAATTTCACCATGTTGGCAGTCCCATCCGAGATCCCATCCTCCTCCCCTTCGTCCCCGTGCAAACGCTGCGCGCTGAGACACCGCCTCGCGGGCCTCGCGGCCTGGCTATCAATCCGGAGCAAACACGCACAGCCGACTGGTGCGCTGTCTCTCTCGCACTCATGGGGCGTCCCGTGTTGGTGCGAGAGAGACAGCGACGGAAACGGCTCTCGGAATCAGTCTGCTAGGATGGGAAACCGAGGGTAACGACAGTAACTTCAGCCGGATAAGGATTACCTCGGATTACCCCGGTTTCCCCCATTACCTCCGGATTACAACAAAAATCCTGATTCCCCGACCTCAAATTTTCCCGGATTACCCCGGGTTAAAAATTCGTATCCGTACGGATTACATTGCTGTCCGATTCCCGAAGTCGTTACCCCCTCGGGGAAACCTGATGCCTCCAGGGACAGGGCGCTGTGACTTACTGAGGTCCCGCCCCGCGCAGTGGGTAGTAGAAACACCGCCACGGGGCGTGTGCTCAAAGAAAGAGGGCCTCACAGTGTGGGTACCGCCCCCTCCGGCCTCCGGCCTCGCTGTTAGCAGTGGAGGCGGCTTGGCGGCGAGGGCGGTCGCATCGGCAGGCAGGCTGACAAGACCTCTCCGAAGGGAAATGAAAATTCCCCAGGCAGCCCCGCATCACGGAGCCGGCATCGGCAGCGTCGGCAGCCAGCGCCGCGTGCCGCGTGCCACGACGGGGTGCTGTGCTAACAACACACTGTAACACACTGTGCCGCCGCGCACGGCTTCGCTATACCAGAGTAGCTTCGCATCCAGGATGAAGCCAACTTGGAGTCGTCACCCTCCTGGCGTTTGGGGACCCGGGCTGGGCGGGTGACCTTGCCAGCCTTGCCACCAAGACAAAGGGGGCGGGGGATTCTCACATTTTGCGGCGCTGCCAAATAGGGTCACGGTCGGACGACCTAACCTTCTGGGCTCGGGCCGGCTTTCGGTAAGGGTTCTTGTTGTACGGAACGCACTGCTCGGGGCGGGGCGGGGAGACGGGGATCACCGACACACTGGAGAAAGAGAGAAAGAGGGGGCGCTCGCGCTGGCGTTGCGTGGAGCGCACAGTGGGCCAGAAGATCGGTGATCGAACTGAACGTGTGACCCCACCAATGGATGGCTCTCCGAGCGAGGAATCCATTGATGGGGTCACGCGATCGGTTCGAGCCCCAATTAGCGACTCTGTAGCTCAAAACGCGTCTAGAGTTTTGGCCGCCTCCACCGGTCTTCTGGTCCACTGTGGAGCGTGGAGCCGCGGAGCGCCTGCCAGTATGCAACCGTCTCGCTTCAACGCACCAGCGCGAGGCGGGCTGCCTACCCTCGCCCCGTAAGGGGCTCCTCCAGGCCCCGCCACGCTCCGCGGCCCCAAACACGCCCCGCTGACAGGCAACACACCACACCATTAGTGTCGAGAGTGGCGGGCGTCACGGCGTATGCGTCGCCACGATGCATCGCGCCCGCCGAGGCCATCGAGGCCGGCGTCGCGGAGGTCGGCGTCGTCCCTTGGCGACAGGGCGCTAATGGCGGGGCCACGCAACGCCCTGCCCGCCTTTCGGCGAACACGCCTTTCGTCGCTCCGTCTCCCTCGCACCCGTGGGGCGTCCCGTAGGGGTGCGAGAGAGACAGCGCGCCGACAGCCTCCGGGGCGGTCTTATTAGGGCGCGCCGGTCGCTGGCCGGCACTCCTGTGAGGCGCAGCGCGGCCGCAGCACGCGCAGCTCGCCATCCCGCGCCAGCCTGCAGCACGTCGCCCGTCACCGAGACGATGATCAGCGCCGTGGTCTTGGTGAGGACGAAGGGGGGGCCGCGCCGCCGACGTGCCTCTCGCACCGAGACGATGATCAGCGCCGTGGTCTTGGTGAGGACGAAGGGAGGGCCGCGCCGCCGACGTGCCTCTCGCACCGGGTGTTTAACTTAAGTTTTTGCTGTGGCAGTAAGGAGGAAAATTGGTTTCAAAAATGTTTAGTACTAAGTTTTTTGAACGATGTTCCTGTGAATTCTCATACCTTTCCGAACAAACCACCCCGTTCTTGGGGTGCTGAGCCACACACACCTCGTTCGGAGAGCAATCCATTGGTGGGGCCACACGTTCGATTTGAGTCTTACTTAGTGACTCTGGCGCTGAAAACGCGTCTAGAGTTTTGGCCGCCTCCACCGGTCTTCTGGCCGCCTCCACCGGTCTTCTGGCCCACTGTGCGACGTGCTGTCGCGTGCTGTGCAGTGTGCGAGTACTGATGGTTGCCGTTGTCCCCACCAGGTGTCGCTGCTGGCGGCGGTGCACGCCCTGCCCGCGCCGCAGCTGCTGCACACCCCGTACTACGGCTACGACTCAGGACTGTACCACCAGCCCGGCTACCTCGGCCAGTACGGCTCCCTCTACTCCAACTACTACGCCAGCCCGTTCGCGTACTCGGGCCTGGGCTGGGGCTACGGGTCGGGCGGCGCGCTGTATCACTGATGGACTCGAGGCGACTCCTTTTGGACAATGTACTGTGTATCGCAATAAACTTGCCCTCTTTTTTTAAAGCTCACGAGCTTGCCTTCATATCCCCGTCCTCCGAAAACGCCCCCGAAAACAAGAGGGCCACGAGGAGCTG